TTCTTCAAGTTTGTCATTAATGAAAAATCGACGAAGACTATCAAACCAATTGACATCATCTGATTGAAGAATTTCAAATGAACGATCTGTTAATGTTTGTAAATAAATTAATACTTGATTAATTTCCGAAAGATTCATTAAATATGTTCGCTGTTTTCGAATAAGTTCCTGGAGAATACGATCACGATCATCATCGTATAGATCATACTGTTTGTATTGTTCAAGTTGGGTTAAATAATGATAGAAAGAAACAACTTGTTCTGGTGTATTATTTGAACATCTAGTCAATAAATCGACACATAAACATTCTCGTGACCATTGTTCTGCAGGCATTTCAAACACAGTCGAATCAAAATAATTAATAAAAAGTAGAGTATGCATTGTACCCATATATTGATCGAATGTTTCTAGCTGAGATAAATTTTCATAATTAATTATTGAAGGAACTCTAAGTTTCTTTAGATAATCCATGAAGTTTTCTACATTGCCTTGTAACATTTGATAACGAAGAATAGAAAAAGTTCTTTCTATCGATTCTTGTGAAAGTTGATTAATAAGACATGAAAGAACTTCTGTTGGTAATAGTTGATTTCGTGCAGCATATTCTAAAGCTACAACACTTTCGCTTATCATACTATTATCACTAAGAATTTTCAATGTCTCCCATTGCAAGATAATTTTCTTTTGTGCCAACATGTAAATCAATTTAAACATTTGGTTCGACTTATAAACGAGAAAAACATTTTCAATTGCTTCATAAACATCATAATTCACTTTAATATCATGTTTCAATACTTCGATAAGAATATCAGAAACTAAATCTTTATGGATGCTGAGTAACCAAGCAACGGCAAGCAAAAGATCGGATGACATTTGTTGATCAAAAACTATCATTCCTTGTAAAATCTTCAGAGCAAGAGATACATTGACTTGATTTGATGACCAAAGCATCGCTGCCATACTATCTTTTTGATCTAATAGTTGTAAATCTTGTTCGTATTGTAAAAACTTTTGTACTTTGGGATATTCGATATAAACAGTGAGTAATTTTCTTATAGTTTCTCGCACAATAGTATGCTTTGAATTACCTGCTACGTGTAATAAATCATCAATAACTGATAGTGGTAGTTTTACAGATGATTCGAGTAATAAAGGAATGGTAATAATATTGATTGTTTCATCATGTAAAGTAGCAAAAATAGCATTACATATTTGATTAGAAAGAACTCGTTGATGTGCAATGATATTTGCTACTTCTCTTTTTAAATTAACATCATTAGTATAGAATAAATGGGATAATCTAATAAAATCTTTGTCGGTTAAGGTTCGACCCAATTGAATAGCTTTCTTTAAATCTTGAACAAACATATCATCATCGTCTATGTTTTGCAACAAGGAATCATCAATTATTTGTTTGTTTGATTGAGTATATTCGAAAATTTTGGCTACTATAGATTGAATATCAGAATCGTCGTTATTATTTAACAGATTGATGAGCGCTTCCACAACAGAAGGTATTAGTATTCGACGATTTTTAACGAGAGCTTCAATAATAGTACAAATGTTTTTACTTATCATTGCTGATGATGAATATATATGTAGAAGTAATGAAATATCTGTCTGATTGATTTCATCAGACCAACGATTAGCAATGACTTTCGAGCAAGTCAATAGTCGATTCTGTAAATCTTGTTCAATAGTAATAAATACATTCGAATTTAATAGTCGTAGAATTTCTTTAATAATCTTTTGATCGACTGATTTTCGTTGTTCAATAAGATGTTGATAGATTTCAATAACATAAATACTGATTAATGGTTTGTCTATGAATTTTTGCAAATAATTAATTACATTTTCGGGAATGAGATAGTTCTGACAACTAAGTTGAGTGAAAATTTTCATTAAATTAATTAGCGATTCATCTTCAGTATTAAGAAAAATTTTACTAAGAGAGTCAATTTGATCATGAGATAAACGCTGTCCATTATTTATAATGTTAACAATAATTGGCAATAGTGATGATCTTCGTTCAGTAGAGGGTAATAGATAAAAAATAGTCTTAAGAACTGATTTTGATAATTGTTGTCCATTAGCAGTCATAGATAAAAGTTCGGTTGTAGCTCTTTCTTTACTTACTGGATAATTTGAATAACGAAGAACATTGGTATAGTATTGTTGTCGAAGAAAATCAACGATATTATTTGGAAGTGGCTGATTACGATCGACAAGTTGAAGCAAAATAACAATATAATAAAGATCATCTTTTTCGAAGAGTAAATAACTTAAATGAGTGATTGTTCGTTCGGATAAAATATGACCTTGACAGACGACTACAGTCTTTAAAATTTTTACTACTTCACGAAAAGCCTTGGTTTCCGTTGTTAATACATGTTCTAAACATGCAATTGTCCTTGTCAATAATGGTTTTTGTTTCATATGCAAGGTCAAAATAGTTAATGCATGCTTCACAATAGTTGGTTCGTGATCGCATAGACAACATTCAATTAATTCTAACAATGCGTCAGACAATTCATAATGCTTTCCTATGAGATATTGAAGAAGTTCAAGTGCCTGGATTTGTACTTGTAAGTCAAATTGATTACGAAAAAATATAACTAAATTGTCTAGTTTAATATCATTATTAGGACATTTTTCAACTTGTTGTTGCCAATATTTAATAAAAGTAATTCCAGCAGTATTACGAATATGAGAGTCGGAATCATTGAGACATGCTTCAATTGCATCCAATATTGTTGAAGATAAATCTTGGCCATTATCAACAACATATTTCAGTATCAAAATGGCTTGTTGACGTGCTGTAAAATCGACTTCTAGTTTAAATAGGGCATAAACGACATTATCTAAAATTTCGTTAGACACATGTTCTTTTGCTATGGTTAACCTCATATAGATACATAGAAGATTATGTAGCAACTTTTGATCATCACATTGTAGCATAACTGCAAGTTTTTCAAGAATATTATTTGATAAACGAGATTTTTCATCAGTGGCGATCAAACATAATGTAGCAGCAGCCAATTTTTGAATCTTTTCATTTTTATCTTTTAATATTTCTCCAAGAGAATCGATGAGTTCAGGTTTCAGCAAATGTTTTTCATTCATATGTTCGATACTAGAATAAAGAGCTCCCAAACAATTTTGACGTGTTGCCAATGAATAAGTATCTGATTCTCCCATTGTACTTAGAAGCATCATGTGTTCAATTGAAAATACTTGTTTTCTAACAGTTGCTGCTTTCCAAAATAGAAAACTAACTTTATCAGATGTTTTTTCCATGAATAAATCATCTTTAATAGACTCAAGATCCAATGTTGGATAATGATCATTCTTTATATATAGAGCATAAATTTCAATAAGTTTTTCTTTGATGGGCTCACCCAGAGAATCATTGTCTGTTGCTTTAAGTATTTGTTCGATTTTCTTTATATGTTTAGCTCGAAATAATTCATTTCGACTTACTATTACTAGTAGAGATTCAGCACAAATAGAATTTAAGTCGTTTGTTTTATCCGTTAGGCGATCGATCATGATATCAATGACATTTTCTGGTAGAGTTTGTCCAGCTTTTGCAGCGTCTAAAAATGCAGTAGCGATGAGATTGTACATTGTAGTTCGACGCGTTATTGAAAGCCAATGTACACCAGCGTTCATTTTTTCGACGAGATAATCGAAGTCTTTTGCTGTTAAACTTCCTTGTTTTGCTAGAGAAGCAAGATTTTTTATCTCACTTATTGTTCTACGATGCCAAGCTTGATTATCATCTGTATCAATTTGAATTATTGGTTGAATTTCGATATGATGTGTGCGATCAAAATGACCGATTCCATCAAGCAAATGATCTAATCTTACTAATTCAGTAGTAGGTACAATAATATTGTCTTTTGAATGTGAAACTGATATATTTTGAGTTGCAACAAGTTCTCTTTTTATATCCGTGTTCAAACCATGAAGTACTATCTTCGATAGAACCCGTTTATCATCGAGAAATTCCAGAAGTTCATGCACACATTCGATTATGGAATCATCACTGCTTGTTACCAATTCATATAATTTATCTAATGTAGTAGAATTTACATGGGCACCATCCACCACAATCTTATATAATGCTTTTATAGCAACAAGAAGAATTTTCTTTGATATACTCTCACTTGTAACTAATTCTTCTAATTGAATTTTGATATAATTTGCTATTTGTTTTCTTTTTCGATAAATATGAATCATAGTATGAACGACCGTTATACGAGCTTCTTCTTTCAATTCTAAATCGTTCGATAAACTCGCTATGAACATCCATCGATCATCAGTAATCATTTGAATATAATCGTCATTTTCTGATAATTTACGAAAGATAAACAATATTGACCATTGTAAAACAGAATCATTTAAATATTCATATAAATATTCAATTATCATTGGAGTAAGAATACTGCTGCACGATATTGTCGATGCAAATGCCCATAAAATACATTGACGCATAGCAGAATTAGCTGATTTTAATAGGTCAGGAAGATCTTTGAAATAGATCGGTTCTACAAAACTACTATGCCAAGTTGCATGTGCACAAATAATATGTTTTGCAGAGATTGATCCTTCGAGATCATCATTATTTTCAGCTAATGTTTGAAGTTGGCAAAGTAAATCATGTGGTAATTCATCACCATTTTTCACCGCACATACAATTTGTTTGCTAGCAGTCTCATCAGCTAAGTTGGCTAATTGATGTATGAGTGATGATAAAATTATTTCATCGATGTGATTAAAAAAAATATTTCTAGTATTATTCTCCATTGTTTACAATTATCAAAAGAGTAATGCGTGAAAAAAAACGATTGTAGAAAAGTGAATGTCTTCCAAACTTGTGTGACTACACATAAAGAACAGAATTAATAATTTTTTTTACATTTGTATAAAAACAGTACATGAGAAAGAAAAAGAAAAAGAAAAAAACAACAGGCAACAAACAAAACATGCTTATTACTTTATTTCCATTCTACAAAAATTTTCTCTTCATTGCGTTTTATCTTGAAATCAACAAGTAAATTTTCATCTTGAATCATTTGTTTTAATTTCAATATCATCTTATCATCGGCTGTCGGTAATTGAATACATATTAATCGAAGATTTTGAAATTTTGATTTATTTCTAATTTGAATTAACAATGGTCGAAGAAAAAATTCAACGTTTATCATAGGTAATTTATTAATTTCAAGTTGTTTAATTAATGGGCAAAATGCAAGAAAAAAATTAATTTCTTCAATTTTATTAATTTTTCTAACACGAAGTTTTGAAATTTTAATATGAGTTGTTGAACAAAAGATTTTTATCATTTCATCTAATGTTACTTGTCGTGGGTATACAAATGATATCATAGAAACTTCTAATGAATCAAGTTCAGGTAATAAACATAAAATTTCAGCTAATTGAATAACAAATATTTCTTCTTTAATAACCAAATGATCAATTTGCATAACCGATAGAACATAGTTCATATAATTATGAATATTATTTAATATTTCTACAGATATATTGTTAATAATAAGTTGTCTAGATTTCGATAATTCTTCAACAGAATATATTTTTTGCTCCTGTCTATCATATTCAAACCATTGTTTTCTAAATAAATGAATTTAGATTATTGTTTTTCATGTTTTCTTTCCACATACTTATATGCATCAACGATATAAATTATAAAGTCATGTATCATTTCAATTCTTAATAGCCATTGTCGTTGAAGCCAAAATGATGTGAGAAATTCATTTGATTTGTCTGAATGTAGTGATGACTGATCATCATTCTGAAAGCAGATGATATATTTCATAGAAAAGTGTTCTAATTGTGGTAAATTTTGTAAAATAATTCTTTCCCATCGACGAGCATTTAAATAATTTTCATTTCTCGACCAGATTCTCAATGAAAATGTTTTTAAATGGAATTTAAATTGATTAATAAGAATTTCAAATTTATCGAATTTCAATGAACACATTTCGATCGAAAGAGATGTTAAATGTCGCAAGTGATTTAGAGAGAGAAGATTTAAATGTGTTTTCTTGTCTTCGTAAATGGAAAACTTCAAATGATGTACTTTTGGTGTATAATATAGAAAATTAACAAGTTCTTGTACAGAACAATAATGTTCGATAATTAAATGTTCAATTGAAGATGATTGTTCATGTGTAGCAATTGGTAAAGAATGATCGGCAAATAGATCTATACAACATGTTTCTATTTTGAAATATTTTAATTTTGATAAATTTAAAACTAATGGATAGATTTTACAAATTATTTTCAACTTTTGTATATTTTCAATTGTTAATGAATATAATTTAGGTAGTTGAGTTAATTTAGGAAGAATCAATAGAATTATATTTGGTTGGTTAATATTGAAAATAAGACAGTGAAGATTTTGATATGATGAATCGAAATTACATAAAGAAATTATTTCCGTGGTAGGTCTCCATGGTCGAATAGAGATTGAGAAAATATAATTTTTTATAACATGAGATATTTGTTTTAATTCATCCACTGTGTTTTGTTTTATGAGTCGGTCATCAAGTCGAATTTTATATTGAAGAAATGGACAATGAAGTAATTGTTGAAAACGAGAATTAAGTATTGAAAACGCTTCATATATATCATTACCATAAAGATACTCAAAGATTTCATAAAATATTTCATTAGAGAAATCTTCAATTGTTGTTATTGTCGACATATTTAAATGAAAAGTAAATCAATGCACTTTAGTTGAAGTTCAACTTTTGACCGCCTAATTTCAAATTCGACGGAACATATTATACATGTTATAGGTCAATCTAAGATGTAAACTTAGACTAGTCCAATTATGTATGGTCATCTTGAGGGTGTGGGTGCGAGTTTCAATATCTATGACTATATACCAACTTCGTTTTCACTCACATCCTCAAATTCTTTTTTTTCCTAAGTAATTTTTATTTTTTTGCGATTGATAACAAAAACGCATTCACATCTTATAGCTGTTAATAAAAAACGCAACTGCATCGTCACTGTAAATCATGATGATATATTATCAAGATCGAAAATGTAATTTTATGAAAATATTTCTTTATTTCAATTTAATCTATAACGAGAATAACAACGATAGAGATCTTTTTCTCGTTATTTTTCTAATAGATGGTCAAATCTATGTGGCAAATTTCAGGAATCATCGGATAATGCGTTGGAGTGCAAGAAATACAGAAAGTGAAATTATTGTTGGTGGAAATGGAAAAGAAGAATCAAACCAATCGTCTTATCCTCATGATGTATCGTTTGATTTAATTTCGCAATAATAATTTGATCAAAAAAAAACAGAGAAGAACTTTTTTTATGAAAAATAAGTTTTTATTAAGGAAAAGGAAAGGAGGGTGTGCTTAATGAGATAGATCTTATATTAACACCCACACCGTGTATTTAGCCGGCAGTTCTTTTTCCCGTCGTAAAAATCGTTCGTTCGATTGAATTGAATTGGTTCGAGTTAAACTAATCGAACGTCTGATGCTTAAACTAGTAAAAAAACGCTGACGACAGAAAGTTCCAAAGTTGTAGATTATTGTAAAAATCAAACAACCATATACTTAGCAAGGACGTCTTTTTTAATTTTCAAAGCATTAAAATATCCTTAACGAAAATTCATATTTTCAGTTAACAAGTATCTTGATGCACTGCCTCCGCACCTCTATATTGTCGACAGTTACCACATGATCGAGCCCAGGAACATGCATTATCTTGAGAACACGTTTGCCAGTTTTCTTGTTTACCTACAGTTCCTGCCTTTTGAGTATAACACCACCAGTCGCCTTGCTTTGTGTAACCAGCATCTGCATAAGCCCAACAGCGTCCTTTGTAACAACCACAACGTGAACCATTGCAATCATCAGTTAAAGGTCTTCCTACAGGTGAATCACAAGCATCTTGATGCACTGCTTCCTCTCTTCTATATTGTCGACAGCTACCACATGATCGATACCAAGAACATTCATTATTCTGAGAACATGTTTGCCAATTTTCTTGTTTACCTACAGTCCCTGCCTTTTGAGTATAACACCACCAGTCACCTTGTTTTGTGTAACCAGCATCTGCATAAGCCCAACAATGTCCTTTGAAACAGCCACAACGTGAACCATCACAATCGTCAGAATCTGTGTTTTAAAAGAAAAATAGATTTTTGCTTGAGGGTCAGGAATAAGGTGTTTTAAGTAGTAGGAGAATATGTCAGTGCTTCTCTGAACAGTCATTTCTTTAGCTGTGATATTGTGAAACGAAAGTGGTTGGTGCGCAGAAATTTGATGAATGCATTTGCTTGTAGTGAATGGAAGAGGAAACAAGAATATATATGGCAATAGAGAATTGTTAAAGGTAGTAGGCTTTTGCTGTTAGTATACGCAAAGGATAAACCGTGGAGAGAATTATATAGAACGGTCATCCTAATATACTCTAATATTATTTTAGGAGACGGTCTATTGTTGACAAAGTTACGAGGCTTAAGTCGGAAGTGTTAGAAATGGCAGAACTTAGGTGAGAAAATTTTAATGCGATGAAGTGGAAGAACTGACGGGTGTGGGCCTCAGTTGAATGTATGATTTCATCCACATTCAACACATCCAAATCCACTCACTCACATCCTCTTTACCTGTGTTGAAACATTTGTAATACTTGCGGATTTCCAGAATATCAATGTCACTGAGATTGTAATACTGGCCGAAAGGTTTTCCCGATGGCTTTGTTTCCATTGTTCTCCCTCCGTTTTTACTAAAAGCCCATGCACCATAGTGTGTAACTGAGTTATAATCGTACGGAGTGTCTTGTTGTACGTCCATATCATTCTCGATCGTAAAAGAGGATACCAAGCCTATTTAGTTTCAAGATTCGAGAGACACACTATTTTGCTCGTATATAAAAGAGCTTACTCACTTTCATCAACATTTTCCCAGTTGATCTAGATGTACTGATCCCGATCTGGTCTCTGATGCTCATGCTGAAAGTCTTCAAGAATATAAAAGTAGAATTGTACTTAATATATAACAAACTGCGAAAAAATTCACTTGCTCAGCGTATGCATCAGCTCATGCGTGATGGTGCCCTGATTGACACAGCCTGGTCCCAAAGAGACAAGACTTTCATATTCAGAATAGTAACCAAGCTAGAAGAAAACCATTTAGTTATAAGAACAGGGTTACACACATAAAGGAACAAAACTTACATGAGCCCAACATCCGGCTCCATTGAAAATCGAAACGTATGCGTCATCCGCCCAAATTTTCGGTCGAAACCGAATACAAGGCTTATCATTGATAGCAGTTGCTTCTTCGATTCTTCGCATCGCCAACAGAACGGTATCTTGTTCCGAAGGACCTATGATTTTTTTAAAGAAATGAATCGTCTTTTGTTAGTTATCTTCTCGTTGAATTTAAAAAATAGTTGGACTTACTATGTGAAGGAATGTCTTCGTAAATACAATTCTTTCCTTCAGCATCACAGGTCTTGCTTTTCCAAGCATATGGAATGATTCCATTTGGCCATCGTGCATCTGATCGAGTTGTCGATAGAGCCCGATCTTTCACGTGCTGTTTGAAAAGTGTGAATTTATAGAAATAGGAGAATGTAACTTACCGGTCGGAAAAGGATGTCTCCTTTGAAGAGATCGGCTAGTAGAGCCCATCGGGTCCACGTTTTTTTGGACCCGGACCCGGACCCGGACCCGCCCAATAAATATTTTTTGGACCCGGACCCGACCCGGACCCGTTCAAAAAAATTTCGGTAGACCCGGACCCGGACCCGATGCCCGGTCCGGGTCCGGGTTGGACCCGATTTTGACGAGCACTAGTCTGAACTCGAGCTGTACCTTTAAAAAATTTTTTAGTCTTAACTATCCAAAAACCAAAACTAAGTAGCAAAAAAAAGGGTCTTTGATTTAGTTTTCTGAAAACCTATTAACCAGTTTTCAAATCCAAAATGGCATTCTCGTGTTCACCGAGCAGTATAAAAATATCATGTCGATAATATATTTCTTTTTATCCGGACCCGGTCATAAAAAGCTTGGAGACCCGGACCCGGACCCGGACCCGGTAAAAACAAAATTTTAAGAACCGGACCCGACCCGGACCCGCCCGGGTCCGGGTCTGGGTCCGGGTCCGGGTCGGACCCGATGGGCTCTATCGGCTAGACAGAAGAAAGAAAAGTGAAGAAATTAGACGTCTGTGAGAGAAGAACTTACAATTTTTTATAAATGTACGATCACCCTCTGTTGAAATCGCCACCTAGTCAATGACAAAGTGAAAAAGTCATATTGCCTATATCATTTTATATCCGTACGTACTGATCGACCATGCATAATATTTTCAAAAGTCAATAGAATAACGAAGTAGATGATAGACACAGAAGTGATCATCTTTAGCAGTATTTTAATGTTTTAGTTTAGAAGAGTAATTGCGAAGCCTCTTTATATAGCAAAGAACGATTATATTTTTTTAAGCCTAAAAACCTTGACAAAGTTAAGACCACATCAATGAAAACGTTTCGCAAAAAAAACAGAATCGAATTACTGAAACAAAATCACGGTCATTCGATGAGTCGTAGTTATCTAATGCGGGATTAGAAAAGTTAATTTGAAAAATATTTTTGCTTTCGTTCTTCGCAAAACTAGCGTGTGGGTGTGGACATCTCCTTTGTCAATAGACACCCAAACTCTGACCTACATCCACCATTAGGATGTGAGTTTTTCTATTGAACATACCTGCATCCTTTCACACCATCAAGCTTCTCTTTTTTTTCATTTAGTTAAATTGTCATTTGGCTCTTTTTGTTAATATCTAAATATCGTCTGTTTCAAGTGAATTATTCATATACACAGCACACTCCATACATTCTTTTTCGTCTTCTTCTCTTATTGTTCTTTTTCTTCTCCTGCACAGGTGGAACCTTTTATTACTCTATTTGTTTTTCTTTTTTTATATACGTAAGAAAATGACCATCCAGCTTCACAAAGAAAATGATGAATTGAGAAATGAGAAAGAACAAAGATGACTAATATATGTGAATATATGCGAAAGGAACAAAAAATAACTATATATGTAAGAGAAGAGAAAGAAAAAAATGTATGTGACTATCATCATTCCCTGACATTTTTGAGTGAATCACAGACTAATGGAGAAAGTTTCTGTTTTTATTATTTCATCTTTGATCATTCAATTTCTATTTTTTTTATAGATAAATTAAGGAAGAATTACCTTGACAATGTCGAAATCTCAACGGTAAGCAATAAATTTATCATTTTGAGAAAATGATGACTTCTTTTAGTGATCATTCCTACGAGTTGTTGGTTGTTGGTGATAAAGGTGTTGGAAAAACAGTTTTTTCATCAGTTAAAAGTGTATGTATAGCAGAAATATCTTTTATTCTATAACTATTCAATATTTTTATTTTAGATTCTTCATTTAGGAGAATCGCCAATTGAATTTTGTTTTGGTTACAACGTCGTAAGTTTATTTTAAAAGTTTCAATTGAAAACATGAATTTTTTTTAGAGAAAGAAAGAAATCAATCTCAATGGTGAACGGATCGAACTCGACATTGTATGTCTTCATTTTGTTCCAAATTGATAAACTTCACATTTGTTTTGCATTTTCTTCTAGTACGATAGTAGCAGTGCAAAAAGTCATCGTAGTTTCAGAAGTAATCTTTTATTTTGATTTATTATCAAGAAGCATGTTTAATTTTGTATCTAGACAACCTTTATAGACGTGTACACGGTATTTTTATTATTTATGATACAACAAACAAAGTAAGATTAAGATGCATTTTGGAAGCTTGATTTGAAATGATAATTCTTTTCTAGGAATCATTTGAAAATTTAAAAATTTGGTTGCATGAAATTAATAATTATGCAAATAAACATAAACATGTGATGAAATTGATTATTGGAAATAAATGTGATTTAGTAGGACGAAAGGCAGTCAGTTTTGACGAAGCTAGAGTAAAGTATATTTAATAATTATGAAGAAAAGAACATTTTATTTCCAATTAGGAGTATGGTATTCAATCCAATGTTTCCATGTTTGAAGTTTCTGCACAAAATTTTACTAATGTTGAATTAGCATTTCAACGTATGGTTTTGAAAATTCGATCCAATTCAACATTGAGAAGCAATTATCAACCTGATCAGTATGGAGAACGAATTGGTTTAGATGTGAGTTGTATATTTGATGTTGATTCAAATGTTGCCGAACAAGATATGAATGATCAAGGTCTTCATAATGGTACAGAAAATGAAAACGAACAACTTTCGACTGAATCTGATGAGAATGCTGATGGGACACATATTCAAAGTGTGGATGAACGTGAGATGGAACGTGCTCAAATATTACCATCAAAGAATCAAACAGTTGAAGAGAAAGCTAAGGAATCAAATCTTATTAATTTTGCAGAAGCATTAATGCGTTTTCGTATGCAAAAAAACAATTAATTAAAATATTTATCAAATTTATATAATCTCGCATCTAACTTATCTATAACAAAGTATTAGGAGTTCTTTCATTTTCTTGTTATTTCTTATTTACAAAAAATTAAAATAAATACATTAATATATATATAAATTCTAGTTTTTATATTAAAGATAAATGTGAATGTAAATAAAGAATAATTTATTTTGACAACAACAAAAAATATTTGTAAATTTCATTGATTAGTCTTCATGAACATTTTGTGTTTATTAACTTTTATCTTTTAAAAAGAAAAATGAGACATATTTTTATATGTGATAAAGGTAAGATGCCTTTTATTTAGAAATGATGTTATACATTAACAATTGTATTAACCATTATGCATAGTGCTCACATAAAACATAAACAGAGCTAGGACACAAGTATTTGTATTTGAGAACGAAATAAAATATATTCTCGAAGTAAGGTTAACGTATTTGATCTGACTCGCCATCAGCCATTGTTGCAATGTCAAGTGTAATTGTATCACATAGACGAACATTCGTGCATAAAGACGTATATTTAGAAGTTTAATCTTTTTACGTGTAAATCAGAATTTTACCTAAGATATGGTTTTCAACTATGTCTTTTTCATTTTTTAATGTTGTATATTTATGACTTCCGTTTTTTAAAATTATGTATGTGAAAAGCGACACAATCTTACGATCTTAATTTTATACATGATAATAGTTATACAATTATGCAAGGATTTAAAGTAGGTAGTCAACTCAACTTTACATTCCAAGACAAGGAATATACGTCAATTCGCGACTAGGACATCGTAGGATGTGGATGTGGGTATGTAATATAGAGTAGGTACTCACACCCACATCCACCCTCAAGTGGGTACGAATGGACATCAAGCAACATTAAAAACTGTGGGAGATCGAGAAATGATCGAAATCTGTTCGAAAGATCATCGACGTTACAGATTGGTCGTTGAGACTGCTATATGGGAAATGATTAGTGATTAAAAACTACAGTTTAACTAACTGTATCCATGGAATGGAAAAAAGAGTTTTGTTTTTATAAAATAAACACAAAATAGACATAAAGTGAATCAGTATCATTAAACTATGAAACATTTTTTCTACATGTGAAGAAAGCAAGAAAAACAAATGTCCAGTTTATGTCACACATATCAAATAAACATCGAACATTTTTTTCCCCATCAAAATATATCATATCACTTCAATCAATTAATTATAAAAATGAGTGGGCTATATTACATTTAAAAAAATTGTCACTTATCATTCTTGCTTATATTTATGTTGAACATGACAACGTCAACATTTCCCAAATCACATTATCATCAAAATTTTATTCTTATTTATTTAAATAATTCAAACAATGATAATAATGAAATTGATCAACTTAAAGAAATTATATTTGAAATAAATAAATTCAACGATCCAGATCAATCTATTGATTTTCTTACTGATGTTAAAGATGTAAAAGTATTTATGATTATCAATGATTCTATTAGCAATTATTCTCTACCACTTATTTGTAATATTCCTCAATTACATTCTATTTATATTTTATCTAAAAATGAAAATCAATTCGATGAATCAATAAATGGTGAAAAAAAGTTACAAGGCATTTTTAATAAAATCGAAGATATATATAATTTATTGAAGAAAAAAACAAAAGAAATTGATCGTAATTTAATTCCAATGAGTATTGTGTCATTCGATAATTCTTGTAAAAAAGAATTGAATGAACTTGAACCATCATTTATGTATTCACAATTAATTAAAGAAATTTTATTTGATATTGAATATGATCAAGATTCTAAAGAAAAATTAATTCAATTTTGGCGTAATTCACATCATCAAAAAGCTGATGTAAAGGTAATTAATGAATTCGAAAAAGATTATCATCCGAGCTTAGCTATTCCGTGGTATACGCGAGACTCATTTATCTATTCATCACTCAATCGAGCATTACGACTAATGGCTATTGATCCTATTATTAAAATGGGATGTTTTCTAAATGATGTACATCAACAAATTAAACAAGAATATGCAGTGCAATTATCAACTAGCACATTCCCATTGATTGTCTATCGTGGGCAAAAAATGTCTAATGATGAATTTGATAAATTACATCAGAATCAAGGTGGTCTTTTGGCATTTAATAATTTTCTATCAACTTCTGAAGATATTAATGTTGCAAAAGTGTTTTGTTCTAATGATTTACACGAAGCCGATATGACATTTGTTCTTTTTAAGATCACAATTTATTCAACTGATACATCAACTCCATTTGCGTCTATAAAACATCTTAGTAAGATGAATGACGAAGATGAGATTTTATTCTCAATGCATAGTGTCTTTCGAATTGATATGATTCATAAAATGGATGATAGTTCCTGGCAAATCGATTTAATATTGACGACCGATAATGATGAGCAACTTGAGGGACTAACACAAGACATGCGAAAACGAACATCAGGATTGACTGGATGGTATCGTCTTGGAAAACTATTAATCGATATAGAAGAATTCACAAAAGCTGAAGAGATTTACGAAATATTACTTCATTCATCTCTAGCTGAAGATGAAGAAGACCGTTCTAAAATATACAATTATCTTGGAATGATTTCCCATGGTAAGGGTCATTTTCATGATGCACTCGTATTCTACCAGAAGACATTAGATATTCAAGAGAAGATTTTATCTTCTGATCATCGTGATCTCGCTACAACATACAATAATATGGCTATAGTATATTTAGCCATGGGAAATTATCCGACTGCACTTTCTTTCTTTGAAAAGAATTTAGATATTCGGTAAAGATGTCTTCATGCTCAGCATCCTAAACTGGCTATCGATTTCAACAATATTAGTGTATTATATCATGAAATAGGAGATTATCGAAATGCACGCTTATCACTCAGAAAGGCACTAGAAATTCAAGAGAATTTGCCTTATACAAACCATCCTGATCTTGCAACTATTTATGATAATATTGGTGTCCTATATCAAAGTGAAGGAAACTACTCTAATGCACTTTCTTTCTATTTAAAAGCTGGTGAGATTAGCCGAAAAACACTTCTTCCGAATCATCTAACTATAGCTATTAATTACAATAATATTGGTGATTTATATCAGAAAATGGAAATGAATTCTCTGGCACTTGATTTTCATCAAAAATCTCTTAAAATTCGAGAAAAATATTCATCTTCTAATCATCCTGCTCTAGCTGTGGCTAACGGCAACATTGGCTCATTATATCATAGTATGGGAGACCATCCAAGTGCCCTGTCATTCTATGAAAAATCACTTGAAATTCAAGAAAAGTTTTTACCGACGGATCATCCTAGTATAGGATTAAAGTACAATAATATCGGTGCTCTATATCGAGACATGGGGGATTATCCAAAGGCGATAGTATACTATGAGAAATCGTTAGAAATCCAACGAAAATCTCTTCCTTCAGAACATCCCGATCTGGCTACTACTCTGATAAATCTCAATACTGTACGTTTAGAAATGGGAGATTATGCAGGTGCCCTCTTATCATGTCAAAAGGCTCAAGAAATTCTAGAAAAATCATTACCAGTGGATCATCCAGATCTGGCTAAAACTTTCAACATCATTGGTTGTGCGCATTTTCAGATGGGAGATTATTCAAATTCATTATTATTTCATGAGAAAGCACTTGATATTCGAGAAAAATCTTTATCCTCTGATCATCCCGATCTTGGTGAAACATATATTAATATCGGTACTATAGACTTCATCAAGGGTCAATATTCCAAAGCACTTTCATTTTGTCAAAAGGCATTTGAATTATTTGTCAAGATTCTTCCTTCGAATCATCCTCGTCTAGCTCACGTCCATAGCCAGATTGCTAAAGTTCATGATGAACTGGGAAACTATTCAGATGCATTGTCAAATTATGAAAAAGCACTCGAAATCTACGAAAAGACCCTTTCTTCTACTCATCCTTCTTTGGCTTCTATTTACAACCATCTTGGTAATTTACATTCCAACATGGAACATCATTTAGATGCACTCTCATTTTACGAAAAGGCATTAGAAATTCGAAAAAAATCTCTTCCTCCCAATCATCCGGATATAGGTGAAGTATACAACAATATTGGAAGAGTTCATGATAGTATGGGAAACTATTCAAATGCACTATCATACTATCAAAATACAGCTGAAATATTCGAAAAAAATCTTCCTATCAATCATCCTCATATAGCCATGATTACTGGAAATATTGGTAAAGTATACGATAATATGGGAGACTACGCAAGTGCACTTTCTCACCATACAAAAGCGCTTGAAATCTTCAAAAAATCGTATCCTTCCGATCATCCATACATGGCCAAAACCTATAGAAATATAGCTTCAGTATATAATAATATGAAAGATTATGTCAACGCACTTCAATATTATGAAAAAGTAATTGAAATTCAAAATAAGTGTTTAAATTCGGATCATCCGGATTGGTTTGAAACATACAACAAAATTGGTATAGTACATGATAATCATGGAGATTACTCAACGGCATTAACATTTTTTAAACGTGCACTTCATATTCATCAGACTTCTTTTCCCAATAATCTCTCTCAGTTACAACAGTTACAAGAAAAAATATCTTCTCTCGAAACAAAATTATAGGTTTTTTTTGTTTGTATTTAATTTTAAGAATCTCAAGTTTTTTCAGTGAATAATAAATTAAAAATCTTGCATAACTATTTAGTAGTAGTGTGGGTGTGGGTGTGGATATTTTGTGTATAGCAACACCCTCACACTTAAGATGGTCTATACCACTGCAGAAGAAATTGTAATATTTAAACTTTTCCCCTTTTGTTCTCATAGCATTGCTAACTATTCACTCTGCCTTATTTTTCTCTTTTTTCTTTTCTTTGATTTTCCTATAAAAAAAAGAAAAAAAATATTACGTCGAGAAAAAAAGAGAATAGAATAAGAAGGAAGTCACCTGTGTTTTTAAATAAAAGTTATTTTTCTTGATTTTGTTTAACACAAAGGTTTGACATACATTTATTTATTTATTGTTATAGAAACGGAAATAGAAACTCTTTAAATTAGGATATTAATTTAGAATTAGTTATCATAAATCTTTTTCGTCATGTGCGTGTATAATAGATTTAGTCAGTATAAGAATGTAATTGTGTTGTATTTGAATACAGCTCTGTCTATTAGAAAAAGAAAAGAAATAAGAATTTCCAATTTATTTATGAGAAAACAAATTATTCTATTCAGAATGAACACGCACAATTGTGAAATATTTCGTATTATAAACATTAAATAATTAACTATTAACAGCAAAAACAACACGTTTATAAATATTTGTTATTTTATATTCTTCTTTTTCTTTCATTTTAATGCCAATTTTTTT